GACCATCTTTGAGGTGCAAAAGACCCAGGAAGCCAGAGGATCTACCCAACCAGTCAGGCCACTTTGGTCTTAGTTTCTGGATATGCATAAAAAAAGATCAGTGTCGGTTCTGAAGGGAGAAGTGGGGGCAGGGCAGGCTGCGAGTAGAGAGGGGGAAAAGAAGGAAATTTTATCTTGAAATTCTATATACTCATGTATTTTTTGAAAACTTTTACAGGAATTTATTGGTGTATTACTTCTGTAAATATATAAAAACATATACCATATGAAACGAGCCAGCCCTGGTGGTCCAGTGGTTAAGATTCGGAGCTCTCACCTCTGTGGCCCAGATTTGTTTCCCAGTCAGGGAACAACACCACCCATCTGTCAGTTGTCAGACTGTGGCAGCTGTGTGTCGCTGGGATGCTGAAAGCTGTGCCACTGGGATTTCAATTGCCAGCAGGGTCACCCATGGTGGACAGGTTTCAGCAGAGCTTCTAGACTAGGACAGACTAGGAAGAAGGACCTGGCCGCCCACTTCCGAAAAAAACCGGCCATGAAAACCCTATGAATAGCAGTGGAGTATTGTCTGATAGAGTGCTGGAAGGTGAGAGCGTGGCGTGAAAAGACTGGGCAGGGTTCCGCTCTGCTGTTCCCAGGGTTGCTAGCGGTTGGAATCCACTCGACAGCACTAACCGACAACAATACCATATGAAATAGGTTCTGCAATTTTCTTATGATTTGCTCTACAGCATGATTAATGACAGCTGCAGGAAAGGCAGGAGCAGGCCAGAGTCAGGGTAAGGTGACCCAGCTTCTTTTGTTTAATAAAGAGGAGGGAGGTGATGCCTCTGATGGGGTTCAGGGCACACTACCCCAAAATATGTCACCTTGGCATATTCAATATTTTAAGCTGAAGGAGTTTGAGAAAAAGCAGAAGCAGGAAAATCACTGACTTCCTTCTCTCTCCTGCCCTTCTTCCCTGAAACAGGGCCATAAAACTCTCACATGAGAAGAGCCCTCCCTCTACCCAGAGAAAAGAGCATCCTTACTGCTGAAGACAAAGGGACAGAGAGCAGAATCCTAACAGACTGGCCTTGCTAATTTTCCCCCAGTTTACTGCACTTACTTCATACTCCTTGATCTATCATATTCCTCCACGACTGCCCACTCTTCGTCAAATCTGGCATGAAAGGACACAGGTCTGCTTCTTTGGGTCTTCATTTCCTTATGAAGGCTCCATGTCATGTAAAACTTATAGTAAATAAATCTGTATGCTCTTTTCATGTTAATCTCTTTGTCAGTTAAATTTTTAGACCCAGCCAGGGACTGACTCTAAGAGGGTGGAGGAAAACTTTTTCCTCCCCTATACCTCCTTACCTTATCCTCCTAGGATGTCTCCTTGAAAACATAATAGGCCCCATAAGATGTCCAGCCTTTTGATTTTGCAATACAATACTGTGGGCTTTCTGATCCTTGGAGCTATAAAATCTTGCCTCCAGAGCTAACTTAGAAATCTCTCACAAGGTATATGGGGACAATCACAGACGTAAGAGACATTTTCATTATTCTCTCTTCTACTTTTCTCTATAAATTTGTGTGAAATTCTGTCCAGAATTTGTAGTCACTTTTGTGCTACTTTATATGCATGTAAATACTATAATGCTTACTCTATACTAAATTGTGTTCCAAGATTGGTATGGAAGGGTCTTTGGTTGGCAGGATTGTTTTATTTCCCCCCAAATTGATAGGTGAACTGTAAAATAAGCTAATTAAGTGAAAGCAAGACTGTCAGGAAAAGTTATACAATAGATATTCAATTTAAGGGGATAGAGCTTAGGAGAAAAAGATAGAAAGTATCAACAAGAGTACTGTAACCATTGCTGACAATTCTGCCCCACTTTCCACTCAATGACCTGTGTCCTATCCAGCCTGAGTTTGAATGGGAAACAGGAGTCTGCTCTTCTCTCCCATGATTCACTTCCCAAGTGGTGCTTGTCACAGAATGAGCATCTCATCGCCCTGAATGTAATTCTAATATGTGAAAAGCAGCCGTTTTTATTTGGCATGCCTCCAAATATGAGTCAAGCACTTTGTCTGGGGTACATGAAAGTACAACCTAATCTAAAGTTGGAGAAAAGACTCATTGTATTGATTGTTTTGAGAGAAGGTATGTCCATCTCCTTCATCAGTCGGGAAGCGGATGTGGAAGGGAAGAGTTGATCACTGCTGGGGGAGGAAAAATTTCTCTTCTACTCTTTGTAAGTTCTTCTGGCTAGTCTAAGAATTAAATTGACATGAGACAGATTGACAGGAGAAAATCAAATTTAATTTCGTATGTACAGGAACCCAAGGTGTGAAGCTCCTTGACAGTTGGACAATTGAGGTTTATATGCCATCCTGAGCTAAGGAGAAGGGGGTAGGGTTATAGGACCTTCAAAGGGGAGGACAACAATTCACAGATAGATGGGAAAAGCAAATATTTGGCAAACAAATGTTTGATCTGCTATGCAGAGACAATGGGACATAGAGAGGACTTTGATCAACCAGGCCTTGCTAAGTTTCCCCCCAGTCGACCACACCTAGCTCATATTCTTTGTAGATATCTCTGGTGATAGCTCTTCTTCCTGGAACAGGCCCTTTATCTAAATTCTTTAGGCAGTTAAGAGGGAGGTAAAAAGAGATATTTCCTGAGTCTTTTGTTTCCTAAAAATAACAAGCCTAAAATAATCCTCATGCTGAAGAGACATATTTTGGGGTGGCAAATTTTTCTTTCCTACATCACCAACCAGGGGTCTGCTCCCAACACTCATGACCCTTTGGTATACTCCACTGTGTTACCCTACCCAATGCCTGCTAGTGAAACCACTAAGAATGGACCCAAATTCCAGGACATAGTGGGTCCTACAAAGTGCCTTGTCTTCTCTCTAGACTGTGCACACTACCCAATTACAGCAACAGATTCAGTCTCATTTGACTACACTCAAAGCTTATGCCCGCCAGTAGAAAGACCTCTGACAATGACCATGAATGACTATGATTTCCTGGAATGGACTGTGTGTCCTTGGGCTATTCTGTCTAAACAAATAGCCGTCTCCAGTCTGCCTTTAGTGAATATGATCTTCACCCTGGGGTGCCACTCCAAGTTTTCCAGGACTCTCTCCCAGATCCACAATCATCCTGGGGCCTGGAAGTGGTTGTTGTACGTGGAACATGATGCTACAAGTTCACGTGAGGCTTCATTTCTGGGTTGAGGTGTTAATGAGCTGGTGAGATCCATATGGGATCTCTCACCCCACCAGACCAAATAGCCAGTGCCTCAAGTCCTAGGGTCCAAGCAACTCAGCCTGGAGGCCTAGGTCAGAGTGGTCTTAGACAACAGAATTGTTCCTTACTATCTGTTGGCCAGCCAGGGGCTAGACTCTACCCTGACTAAACTGTGTTGTATTTAGGTTAACCCCGATGGCAAGTTAGAGCAATCAGACTCCTGTGATAGAAACAGGTAGAATGGCTGACTAAGGTGCCCTGATCAGCAGCCTGGAACCTCTTCAATTTTCTGGTCTGGGATCCATTGGCCCCTGGTTTTGGGGAGGGCTTCAGGTATTATTCATGGCCTTCCTTTCCTGCTCACTGTTCTTACCATCCTTCATTGTCTCCTACAGCAAAGCCAGAGACTAGCTTCACAATCCTTATGGGTTCAGCAGGTACAGGTACAAATCTGCTAGTGGAGTGGAATATGACACATAAAGCTATCCTTTGAAACCAAGGGGTGGACTGAGAGGCAAGGATTAGCTTGCCTGGAGACTGCTACCCTGCAGACTGGCATCCTAGGGAGGAAGTTGGCTTCCTGTACAAAGAGCCTGTTTGGGTTACAGAAGCCGGGTAAAGGTGAGAGTCAAAAGCAGAAACATTCTGGCAGAATGCTGATGTGGCGGAACAGGGCTGAGGAGGTATGTCATATCAAATGGCTGTATACGCAAGACTCAGACCACAGCCCAGGGTCACATCAGGGTGAAGTGGATGCATCCTCAATCACAGAGCTCGTAAACCCAGAGGCTATGGTTCATCTCCTGGACTCTTATCTGGCTCTGCTAAGTTTGTGTTCTGCAATGGGCATTGGAGGGGAGAGGGGTCACACACCTGCCACTGTCCCATCTCTGTTATTTCCTCCATAAACACTGTTCCAGTCTTGGTGCATGTACTGTCAGCTGTCTACCCCTGTTTGCTCAATAATGCCCATAAAATCATTTCTCACCTTTATCCTGAATTCCTGGCATCTCAGAACCAGCCAAGACCCATCTAACCTTTCTCATGCATGAGAAATGATATGAGATGTTTCCTCCAAATAAATTAAGTAGAAAAACATTGAAAAGGGCATGTCCACATGGCATCGAAACAGATTTAACAGAGGAAAAGGGCACAGGGCCAGCTGGGTCATTTGAAGACTTAATAGAAAAAAAACTTTTATTATTTGCATGTTCTAGGAGGAAATGAGCGGCAATATGTGGTAAATACCAGAAAAGTATTTCCCCTTCATTCACGTGTGATATGAACAAAAGTACTTTTATAAAGCTTTCCACCAATATTTAAATTTTTTGTCTCAATATGTTTTAGATGGCAGAGATACCCTCTATAGAATGTCACAATTAAAAGTTAAGCCATTAAGCTATAATTAACAAGACAAGAAATAACAATTGTTGGAGAGGATGTGGAGAAGAAGGAACCCTCATACACTGCTAGTGGGAATGCAAACTGGTGCAGCCATTGTGGAAAACAGTATGGAGATTTCTCAAAAAATTAAAAATAGAAATACCATATTATCCAGCTATTCTACTACTGGATATATATCCAAAGAACATAAAATCAATAATTCAAAAAGATATATGCAGCTGTATGTGCATTGCAGAATTATTCACAATAGCCAAGACGTGGAAGCAACCCAAGTGCTCATCAATGGACGAATGGATAAAGAAGATGTGGTTATATATACACAATGGAATACTACTCAGCCATAAAAAAGACAAAATCACTCTTTTACCAGGGACCCATCAACATGGGCTGTGTTCACACTGAAACCATGAAGAGGGCAGCCTGGGTCATCATTGAGAAGTACTACATTCTCCTGGGCAATGACTTCCACACCAACAAGCACATGTGCAAGGAGATCACCCTTATTCCCAGCCAGAAAGTCTGCAACAACCTCACAGGCTATGTCACGCATCTGATGAAGTGGACTCAGAGAGGCCTGGTGAGAGGTATCTCCATCAAGCTGCAGGAGGAGGAGAGAGAAAGGAGAGATAATTATGTTCCTGAGGTCTCAGCCCTGGATCAGGAGATCATTGAAGTAGATTCTGACACTAGGGAAATGCTGAAATTCTTGGACCTTGACAGTCTGTCCAAACTTCATGTCACTCAGCCTGCAGTTGGGGTGAATTTCAAAACACCACGTGGAGCAGTTTGAATCTATCTGCTGTGCTGTAATATTTTCAATAAACCTTGGACAGCAATAACAACAAAAACAACAAGAACAAAAGACAAAATCATGCCATTTGTGACAACACAGATGGACCTTGAGGGTATTATGCTAAGCAAAATAAGTCACACAGAGAAAGACAAATATCGTTTGATTTCACTCATGTGGAAGATAAACAAATAAACACATAGGTAAGGAGAACAGACTGGTGGTTACCAGAGAAGAAGGGGATGGGGGGAAGTGAAAGAGGTAAAGGGGCACATGTGTATAGTGATGGATGGAAACTAGACTATTGGTGATGAATATGATGCAGTCTATACAGAAACTGAAATATAATAATGTACACCTGAAATTTACACAAGTTAAAAGTCAATATGACCTTAATAAAATAATTTTTTAAAAAAGTTCCAAAATAGATTGTGGTGATGGTTGCACAACTCTGCAAATATACTAAAATCCATTGAATTGTACAATTTAAATAGGTGAATTGTATGATATATGAACTATTTCTCAATAAAACTGTTTTTCAACAAAAGAAAAAAAAAGTTTAAGCCATTAATATTGAACCTTATTGCTTGCTGATTAGCACCCATTCCTTCCCATTGGCATCAGTCTACTGGATTTCCTTGAACAAAATTAGCCAAACACTTTAGGTGGGATTGATCCCACCTACAGATTCAGGGGTGGTACCTTGTCAGTTTAAGGCAATCAGCGAAAATGGTTTCCCCAGAACTCATGATTGTCTTAAGAATGTATGTACACACGACCAGATTCAAGCCTATGAGAGGCAATGAGATGCTGGCAAATCCTGGGAAAGACGTTTCCTCCCTTTCCCAAGGAAAACTGAGAGAAAGACATTGCTTCTTCTAATAGGGATGAAGTATATAGTCCTGGAGCTCCCGGCAGCCATATTTTGACCACACTGGGAGGCAGATGTAGGGGAGGAAAAACTTTCTTCTACCCTCATAGGTCCTGTAGCTGAGCCCAAGAGTTAAATTCATATAAGACAGATTAACAGGAGAAAAGCATACACATTTTATGTAATATTTTTATGTTTACATAGAAGTCTTCAAAAGGAAAATGAAGATCTGAAGAAGCCATGAGACCCAAGAGCTTACAAAGAATAATAAATTGTGGAGATGTAACAAGAGACAAAGGGCTTTGGGTTAGGGGCAGTAAACTGTGGGACAACGACTAGGAAATATACGGGGAAACTAATGGAAGACAAGGGTTATGTTGGCAGGTTGGTTTGTACAGATCCATTTTGGTGTTGACTCCCAATCTTTGGTGATAAGAATTGTAGGAGAGGAAGAAATTTTCCTCTACCCTTCTAGGTTCTTCTGGTTGGTCTAAGAATTAAATTGATGTCAGACAGAATAACAGGAGAAAATCAAACAAAGTTTAATAACACGTATACATGGGAGAAACCCAGGAAAACTGAGTAACTCACCAAAATAGCTAAAGCCACCACCTTAAATACCATCTTCAGCTAAAGACAAAGGAGGATGTTGAGGGTAGTGGTTTGGGACTTCAAAGGAGAGGAAGGCAATTCACATGGAGATGGAAAAGCAAATGTTCGGTAAACAAACATTATCCACGCCTTGCAAAGACAATGATAGATGGAGAGGACTTTGATCAAATGGGCCTTGCCAGGTTCCTCCCTGTTTACAACACTAGTTCATGTTATACATAATTATCTGTGGTGATAGCTCCTTCCTGGGACAGGCCTTCTATCTTAAATTCCTTTAGGCAGTTAGGGGGAAGGTCAAAGTTTCTTCTGAGTCTTTTGGTCTTGAAAATAGTCAAGCCAAAGTGACACATTTTAGGGTGGCAAATTCTGCACAGAATGTTCTCTTCCTGATGCATAAAAAGCACCTTTCTCATGGGAAATTTTATGACTTACTTTTGGTCAGAGAGCCCTTCCTGCATCTGCTGCTTCTCAAGTGCCTTCAGCTCAAGGTAATTAATATGCCAAAGAGCCAGCCCTGATGGCCTAGTGGTTAAAGTTCGGCGCTCACTGCTTCGGTAGCCTGGGTTTGCTTCCCGGTCATGGAACCACACCACCCATCTGTCAGTTTCCATGCTGTGGCTGTGGCTCACATAGAAGAACTAGAATGACTTACAACTAGGATATACAACCATCTACTGGGGGCTTTGGGGAGGAAAATAAATACCAAAGTGGCATATTTTGGGATGGCCTTTTCTAAACCCCTTTACAACCTTTGTTTGAAGCCAATTTTAGAGAAGGTGAAGAGAGTCCAGAAGAAATCAGGTCATTGGTGACATGGCTGAGCTGCTATACCAGGTCTCAGTTGAAGTCTGCTCTATCACTGGGATTATTAATTTTGTGGGGCAATACATCCTCATTATTGTTTAAGACAGTGAGTATGGATCCTTGTTGCTTGCTACTCAGAGGATCCTAACAGATATAGCCATTACATTTGACACAATGACAAGAAAACCACTGAAAACAGACCAAGAAAAAAGCCAGAAAGGCAAGGCGATTATGATTCAAATTCGGATGTGTGCTGTTATATCTGTGTAGTCTTAGAGTCAAAAAATGCTGCAAATAGAGTTTCTTGGTAGGAAAGATTTTATACGTTATGTGTTCAACCAGATTTAATTTTCACAGTGGTGTATTTATTCAAGAAGCCAGGATGTGAGACATGGCTGGGGATGTAAGGAGGGATATGTGTCGAGAAGATAAAAATTGGCCAAAAACTGAGAAATGGTCAAGTTACATTGTGCAGATAACTGGTAACAAAGTTGAGCTATTTGTTGATAGAAGGGGAGTTCTGTTGTTTGGTGTCTTTGTTAATTGATGATATATTTGGTTAACAGCCCTGTCGGTGAAGTTAGAATTTACCCCAAACAACTAATAAAGTCATGAGTTTTACAGCCTAACAATCCTTAACTAGCCTTGTGACTAGACCTACAATGTTTAACCAGGTATTTCTTTCTGGAACCTAATCATGCAATATAATCCTCCCCCCCACTTTTTTTCAATTAAGATTTCCCTTTCTAAAAGCACTCTGTGTCAGCTTTCTTTTGCTTTTTAAAATTTTTATTGGGGTATAATTGACCTATAACATTATATTTGTTTCAGGTGTACAACAAAATGATTTGATATTTGTATACATTGTGAAATGATCACCATGATAAGTGTAGTTAACGTTGGTCACCTTATATTGTTTTTTTCTTGTTATAAGAACTTTTAAGATTTACTCTCTGAGTAACTTTCAAATACATGATACAGTATTATTAGCTGTAGTCGCCATGCTGTACGTTACATCCCCATGACTTATTTATTTTGTAACTGGAAGTTTGTACCTCTTGACCCCCTTCGCCTATTTCTCCCACTCCTCATTCCCTGGCTCAGGCAATCACCACTCTGTTCTATGTGTCTATGAACTCGGTTGTTTTTTGTGTGTGTGTGTGAGGAAAGTTAGCCTTGAGCTAAAGTCCATGCCAATCCTCTTCTTTTTGCTGAGGAAGACTGGCCCTGGGCTAACATCCGTGCCCATCTTCCTCTGCTTTATATGGGACGCTGCCACAGCATGGCCTGACAAGCGCTGCATCGGTGTGTGCCCAGGACCCGAACCTGGGCTGCCAGCAGCGGAGCGCGCACTTAACCACTACACCGCAGGGCCGGCCCCATATGAGCTCGGTTGTTTTTGTATTAGATTCCACATATAAGTGAGATCAATAAGGTATTTATCTTTCTCTGTCTGACGTTTTGCTTAGCATGATGTCCTTGAGGTCCATCCATGTTGTCACAAATGGCAATATTTCGTTCTTTTTTATGGCTGGATAATCCTTTTGCTTTTGTTGGTTCCTTTTGTTAACAAGTCCACTATAATGTAGACAGTTGATTTGTGGTAGTTTGTAAGAACGGCTACAACAATTCCTCCCCTTCCTGTGTATATGCACATTTGCAACAGGACGCTCTTTGCATCTATAGGTGGGGTCTATTTCTCTGACCCTGAATTTGGACTACCCTATGACTTGCCTTGATCAATAGAATGTGGTAGAAGGGATGTGCAACTTCCGAGCCCAGGCCTCAAGAGGTCTTGCAGCTTCTGCTTTTGCTCTCTTGGAATGCTGCCCTGACCCTACCATGTAAGGAAGACTGCAGAGGCTGTAATGGGATGAAAGGCCATGAGGAGGACCTCGTGGAAGGTGCGTCGGCTAAGAGAAGCACCAATTGTTGGACATGTAAGTGAGGCCATTGTGGATCATCCAGCCCAGTTGACCCTCCATCTGAATGCAGCCACATGAGTGACCCCAGGTGAGACCAGCCGAAAGAATTGCCCAGCCATGTCACAAAATCATGAAAAATCATAAATCGTTGCTGTTTTAAGCCACTAAATTTTAGGATGGTTTCTCAGACATCAATAGATAACTGAGACAGTTCTCCAGATCAGTTCTGCTGAGAAGACTGTTTAAAATGTAAAGGCATTGTGAAGTTTGGATAGCAGATGTGATTAAAATCTGAAGAAATAAACTGCATATTACCCAGTGTAATGTATTCTCTCAACTCTTTAGGCTCTGAATGGAAGAGTTGAGTCATCAGGAAATGTGACCATACCATGAGAGTGGTCATCCGTATAAATAAAATCAGGTTTGAAATTACTTGTCGCTTCATTGTGAAAAAAAAACTGGATGGATTTTCACCAAACATGGAAGGTGTGTTTCAGATGGTCTGACTTGTGTAGGGGAGGAAAAAAGTCTTTTTCATCTATCCATGTTAGATTCTCCAGCTGGGGATCTGTAAATAAGACTGACAAAGGACAGTTTGACAAGAGAAAAATCGGACAGCAGTTTATTAGCATACGCATTGACCATGCACATGGGAGTACCCAGAGATGAGTAGCTCAAAGGGGTGCTTAGAATTTGGAGTCTATGTTGCTAACAGTAGGGGAAAGAGAAGGGAGAGAAAAAGTGTTTATGGATAACGAAATGGCTTTTTGGAAAGATAAATGGGCTCTTAGGAGACTAGATGGGAGATAACATAATCTTGTGACAATGTCTGTTTGGGTGTGTTGTGAACTTCTCATCTCAGGAGATTACAGTTCCTCCTGGAGAGGGGACTTAAGACAAGTGAGTTCTTTTGGGAGGCTCTGCTTTTAGGTAGATAAGAGATTTCAAGAATGCAAATGCTTTCAGCTCAAAATAATTCTTATGCCAAAGTGGCATATTTTAGGGTGGCGTATCCTAATGTCCTTCACTTGAAAAATAGACGATGAGGAATATATGGATTTCACTTCGGTAGGCCTTGGAGGGTACCTCAGAGAGGTAGTTAGTCATCTTCCAAATAGCTGAAATTGATACAAGGAGAGGGTCACATGACTGCTGATTGGCAGTCTCCACGTATACAACAGATTAACATCCACCCACCACTCCCTCTGTAAATTACCCTGCCTAAGCGTGGTGTGCTGAACCCACAGCCAGCAGACCTCAGTGTTCTCATTTGTAAAAGGGAGAATACGGTAACGCGCCGCATAATGACATTTTGATCAACGATGGGCTGCACGTACGACAGTGGTCATAGAGCCGAGGTGTGTGGTAGTCTATACCATCTAAGTTTGTGTAAGTACAATCTATGATGTTTGCACAACAATAAAATCGCCTAATGACACATTTCTCAGAAGGTGTCCCCATTGTTAAGTGACACATGATGGTACTATCTCATAGAGTTGCTTTAAGGATTGACAAAGACTCTCTCCTGTAGTCGGGTTCCTCCGAACTCTCTTCCCAATTAGGCCTTGACTTTTGGACTTCTATGTTCTCTGCATTGCCCAATTTTAGCCAGAATCCTGTCAATCAGTTTAGCCAGAATCCCCCACCCTCAATATCTGATCACCATCCATATCTGACCAAATTTCTCACCCTCCACCATCCTCAAGCTGATGTCTGATCACCTGGCCTGCCTTCACCAAGAACCCTGTCAGGTGGTTTTAGCCAGCAGCCCCCCGACCCCTGATGTTTCCTCTCAGTAATTTTCCATCTGCCGACCCCCAACCTGCTCCTGGGCTATAAATTCCCACTTCCTTGTCATTGTTGTATTTGGAATTGAGCCCAGCTCTACACTGAGGTCTCTTTTCCCTTGTTGCAATAGTTCCTGAGTAAAATCTGTTTTTGCCACGCTACTGTCTGGCTCTCCGTTTTCTTTAACAGGGATAAATGGGTTAATGTATGAAAAGCACTTAGCATAGTACCTGGCACACAGTAAGTCCTCTATATCTTAGCTTTATGATTTATTTTGAAGCCTTTCACATCAGTTTCCCAAGTGATGGGAGTAAAGACACATCCTGCCACAGAGATCCACGAAGCAGCTGCAGATGTGCTTACAGATCCCTGACCCCCTGCCTTGTCTCTCTAACCCCTCTTCCCTGGGCCCTGCAGACCCACACCGCCACCTCCTCCTCTCCCTGCCTATGGGGGTGGGGCCCTGTTTTCTACCCCAACCCAGGCTCTGAGTGTTTCCTTATCTTGTTCTATAATGATCTCTTTCTTTCCCAAAGACACGTGGTACTTTTCAGCTCCTTATTCCTCTTTCAAGGACATTTATCTGCTCCACTCCCTTCTAGCCAAGGCCAAGCACATTTGTTATCCTCAGAGACATGCTCCTTATCCTTTTCCCCGTGCAGAGCAGCTGGCCCCTAAATAGAGTCACTAAATTCTCATGCAGCTTTAAGGAAAGAGGCTTGAGAGAAGGGGGAGCCGAGAAGGTTCAAAATTGGGGACCCCATTTAGTAAATCTTTGAGGTCTTGGGTTTTATGGAAAGTCGAGGACTTTATAACAATTCTATATTCCTTTTCAAGTTTTCACAGCTGACAGGGCCACAGGTTTCTCTCCCCTCCCCAGAGCACCACTCTACCCACACACACTTGTTTTTGACCACAGGTGTATTTGTACAGAGAAAATCAGAGTTAACAAAAGTCTATAGGCATGATCATTATCAGTAACCAGTTCTGGAGAGTTTCTGTGGAAAGACCCTATAACCAGACAAAAAACTTGCCTGCACATAGGAATTCAATACTGGCCATTTTAAAAGCAAAGTCTATAGAAAGATATTAAAACTGAAGGATATACAATACCACCACCACTACCACCAACAAAAAACATATATTTAAAATGATTTTTCAATGCAAAGAACAGAAACAAAAGCCAGACTGGCTTAAGCAATAAATATAGAATTTCTTTTTTGTGTGTGTGTGAGGAAGGTCAGCCCTGAGCTAACATCCGATGCCGATCCTCCTCTTTTTTGCTGAGGAAGATTGGTCCTGGGCTAACATCCATGCCCATCTTCCTCAACTTTATATGGGAAGCTGCCACGGCATGGCTTGACAAGCGGTGCTTTGGTGCACGCCCGGGATCCGAATCTGCGAACCATGGACCACCTCAAGCGGAGTGCATGCACTTAACCGCTGTGCCACCAGGCCGGCCCCAATACAGAATTTCTGACTCACACAATTGCAAAGTCTAGAGACACTGTGTTCAGGCACAGCTGGATCTAGGTGCTCAAATGACATGATTAGATAACCCTTTCTCTCTCCTTCCTCTACCCTTTCTCCATCCATTTCTTTGCTGGCTTGACTTTTATCATTCATTTTATTCAACAAATATCTATTGAGTTTAGATGTGGCAGGCACTAGGGACATCTCAATAAATAAGACTGACAGGGTGCCCATTCTCATGGGAGTCATGTTCTATTAGGAGAGAAGGACAATAAATTAGTGAATGGACAGATACAAAATATACTTATAGTTTGGGGTAATTGTGATGAAAACAAACGAGGAAAGGACAATAAATTAGTGAATGGACAGATACAAAATATACTTATAGTTTGGGGTAATTGTGATGAAAACAAACGAGGAGCTGAGCGTCGAAAAGGAGAAGGCTGGAGGAAGACTTATGGATCTAGGGTGGCAGGGAAGGTCTTTCTGTAAAGGCGAGATTTCCTGCCACCTGAGGGAGGAGTAGAAGTCAGCCACGCAAGGATCTGGGGGAACAGCATTCCAAGCAGAAGGAACAGCTATGCGGAGGTAGACAAAACCTCCTAATGGTGACAAACTGGTTCCAAGGAGGCTGACACAAGGTAAAATTGGCCAGGGAGCCAGCGGCCAGGTTATGGATTTAGGCTAATGCAGGGGGATGACACCTACGGGTTTTGTAAACAGGAGTGTGGCTTACAGTGATAATGATTTATCTTGTCGAAGATGGTGCTTGTTGCTGCTGCATGAAGAATGGAATGGACCAGGGTGGGAATAGAAGGCCTTCCTGATTATACCAGCAAAAGAAGGCTGATTTCCACCCACCTTTGCCTGTTACAGCATCGCCTGGACTCACCAAATCATGGAGCAATTGTCCATCCTACAGAGGGAAATCATTGTCATAGTAACAAAGAAAACACAGTCCATCATCTTAGCCCGTCAATAGGCCACAAACAGCATGTCACATCACACGATTTTCTGCTCATGGAGTGTGCCTTTTCACATTTATCGACTTTGTACAATATGGCTATTTTTCAAAATGTCAGAGGCCATTATCTTGAACATTCAGGGTCTTAGGAAAGCTATTTGTTCTTGTGAGCAGTGCATGAAATCTCTTTCTAATTATAGTCCTTCTGAATTCTTTGTCCTTTCCTTGAAATA